TGGCTTGTGGGATGGGGGTTGAAAGGGCTGGCTGGTCTGGGTTGGGGAGGGGAGCAAGATGCTGGGGGAGGGGGGCGGGGACAAAAAATAGTCCAGTGTGGGGGGAGTGTGTGAAAAGAGCAGCCCAGGGGCTGGGGCCAGGGCCTGGTTTTTCCCAGTCCTGGGGCTGCTCAGGGAAAGAGTACATGCACCAGTTTGATCTAAATTGAATACATTTGATACTACATAGATCCAGGTTTATCTTAAACCAGGTTCTGCACATTTTAGAATAGTTTGTGTGCATGGTCGGACCTCTTTACAGTTACAGGTTTAGACTGATTGGCAGTCATGGAGTGTATAGGTCTGTAAGTCTGTAAGTGTAAGGTCAGCACTGGGACAAACTAAGTTTAAATCATGCAGCCATTTTGAACCCAGTTTAACTTACACAAATGCCTGTACTTAGCCATGAAGAAACACAACCTAGGTAATGCTTTTCAAATAACTATCAGAGGTAAGTGGAGGCTGTGGTAGTCAGGGCTTTTAGGCAGCTAGTGAAAGATGGTGATCCTATTTTGGAGAAATTGAGGGAAGCTTCAAAACATGTTTGTTTCAATCCTTGCCTAGCACCCATTTTAATGTGTTGGGTCGTATATGGTACACACTGTTGTCCCTATGAGTATTAGTCAGTTTTGAAACAATATGCCCATTTTTCCAATCAGTTGTACCTATTTATAAAGTTTAGCACCAGAACGGAGGTCCATTATGATCATCTAATTTGATCTCTTCATTGCCAAAGCCACCCAGACTGACCAGTATACTGACATGTTCTTTGGCTACCTTCATTCTCAATTTTTCCAGTGCTATTATCAACTTGTCAGCTTCTCATGAGTGTACTAAAGATCCCACAGGAATAGAAATGATTCTCTAGATTCCTATAAGAGAACCTTTACCTGATTTAAATCCCAAGAGAATGCATTTCCTTCTTCAACTTTTATGCTGAGTCTGTCATAGAGTAGCAGGCTTAAAGCATATACTCTTATCACCTTCATTTAGTATGTGTTGTTCCTAAATGTTCACTGCTATGGGCCCTCATTTTATGAGCAGGGTGCAGTATATTCACAATCTATAAACTGCTCTTATTTCAGATTTTCAAAGTAAGTTTATTGCACTTTCAGTACATATTGAGACAGGCGGGTGAACAGCATGAATTCATAGTTACTTTAAAAAAACACATGAGATGGTGATGATTTTGTTTTCCAGTAACAGCTTTTTTTGTTTTCAGCAGTCCTATGCACCAGCTCCCCACCCCATGGCTCCTCCCAGTCCCAGCACAAACAGCAGTAACAACAGCAGCAACAACAGCAGTGGGGAACAGTTGAGTAAAACCAATCTGTACATTCGAGGCCTTCCACCCGGCACGACTGACCAGGACCTTATCAAGCTTTGCCAGCCGTAAGTGCAATTAAAATATTTGGTGCCGTATGTTTTAAAGTGAATATGCCTGATCATTTCATTTGCAGGGACAGACTTGCAAATCAGCTGTTTTGGTTTGCAACTGTAGATGATGTATGTCATAATGGTTGGTGCACATTAAGAATAAATGTTAATCCTTTAGATCAAGTATCTAATCAATGTTTATGCCTTGGGATCTAAAGAATCATGGTTCAGAACTGGGGTTCACGTCCAGTTCTGAAGAGATAGAGAAAAGAGGGTCCTTGTAATTACACATGACTAAATTTTTTTTTATATAATTCTTTTTTCCTAAATGTTTTTTGTCTAATGCACACAATGAGAAAACATCAACACCGCTAGATTTCATAGTTAAAGTAATCTGTGACTTGTAGTGACACATACAACAAAACATGGATGCATCCTGTTTTGTCATTTGTCATGTCTTGTGATTGGTGCATCACACATTGTCAAGCTTGAAACTTACAAAATGTATAACCAAGTAAATATGGCCTTGTATCAAAATATGTCCTTAAGTACATTCCATGTTGAAAACAGATGATATTAAAAACATCAACTTCTCACTCAACAGATCTTTTTCTTGTATGTATTTGGAACTATGTCTGCCATCTTTATTGACAGAGAAGTTTTGCTACTCCTTATTCCTGTTAATACTGCAGAGTATTAGTTAGTTTCTGTTAGTTTCTTCTCTTCCTGTTGGATTATCAACAGAACTGTCTACTCAGATCAAGTTATTAAAGACAATCAGTTACGCTTATGCAATCAATTGAATATAGTGGATTACACAGCTGTAAATGAGGGTTTGATTTGATTTGCAGAGTCTTTATTATGTGTCATGAACTTAAGAAGAATATTACTTGTTTCACTTTGAGATCCCAGTTAGAGTTTGCCTGGCTAGAATTTAAGGAACATATATTTGTATTTAAAATAAGAACATTGATTAGGAAACAATGGGGATGAAAGGCATGTTAGTCCACAACAAGATTTATAGTCATTTTCAAAGGAGAAAGACACCTTTAAGACATCTCTTTACAAATCAGCCTGCTGGCAGAGAGCAGTAAATGGAATTTCATAACATAAGAATCAATCTAAGCCTGAGTTGTATAGTAGACAACATTTAATTTAATTTAATGTTGTACTCTTGTATATCTCTGCATTTCCTGATTGATCCAAAGCAATGCACAGTATATATGACCCAGACCCAAATGCACAGTATTTGGAAAGTTGTTGGACTGTTATCACATCTGTGATGTTCAGGCTGATAAGTTTACCAAACAGATTTGGTTAAAATAAGAGGCATCAGAATGTTGAGCTCTTTTCTATGAAACAAATGTGTTTTTGTCTTTCACTAAATAATCTATAATTATTGCAGCTAAACCTATTTCCTATTTTCAGGATAATACCATGTAGGAAATTTTTCATGTTCCACCTTTGTAAAAATATGACTCTAGTGCTTGACTCTAGTGCAGATTAATGTTCTCAGGCATCAAAAGTTAAAATACAAAAACAAAAAAAACCTTGAATGGGAAATTTTGGAACAAGAAATCATCCACTGATTGGATTGTATTAAGTGTGTTTTAACAGGGGCTATATATTCTTATGCCATTACCTGGATGTGCTGTTCTAACCCCATTGTACCTATGGGTTCTTTGTTGCTTCTCCCAGCACTGTCCCTCTTTTCTCTTTCTCTCTCCTCTTCCTCTCCATCCTCTTTTCCCATCTTGCATATTCAAATCTCTCAGTCTACTTTATAAATGCTCTATGCTGTCCTTTCACAGCACTGATGTTATAGACTTTATAACAGATTCTGCTCTATATATAATCTTTTTAGTTAGTCTATAAGGTGCATATGTACCTTATAGACTAACCTGCCTTTTGCCTGCCTTCCAACTAACAGGGCTAACTACCCCTACCTAATTTTCTCTTGTAACAGTCATAGGAAATCCTAGTTTAAGGGCCAGATCTTCAACAGATATACAATGGCAGAGGTCAATGGAAGCCCTAGGAAGCTACATTGATTTTTTTGTATTATTGGTTTAGAGTCTGGTCCTTTGAAGATTTGGCAAACTCTTCTATATTTATTTGTTTTGACCTGAGCAATAATTCTAAAAGAAGCTGAGTATTACCACAAGACCTATGAGGCTCCAACATTAAGTTCTAAAGGCATAGTACTAAGCGCTCATTCATAGAACAGGGCAGGTATTGATTCAGCCTGCATGTACCTGCCCTTCTCCACTTGTAAATGTATACTAGACATTGTGGTTCCTTTGGTATCAGGGCAAAATTCAATATGTAGTGTACCCAACCTAATCTGTTGGGATCAGAGTCTCAGCCACCATTTGTACAAAAAGAAGTTACATTTTTATTTCTAGTTATATTTCTAGAAAGCCCAGATAGTCATTTGTCTTGCTTCAGGCTCTGAAAATTAACAGTATTTATCAAAGAAAAAAAGAAAGGATGGATAAAGAAAAGCATAAACATTCAATAATGCAATAAGATGCCATAGCAATGTGTAAATTTTTTTGTAATAATGTATGGCAAAGTATTTTTTTGCTTCCGGAAAATGGTTAAGTAGAAAAGTTGAATATAAGTTCAGATTTCTGTTGCCTCTTTATTTTCAAATAAATATAATATACGGTATTCACTAAAACAGAAAACAGGGCAGAAGTTGATCTTTAATCATTCTCCTCAAACAAAACATTTATTTCTCTCGTTAAAAACAGTGCAAGTCCTCTACCAACACAAAAGCACATCCAGTCCTTTGTCAGTATGCCTCAACTCCCATTTTCATTACTGAGATTTTGTTACAATATCTGTATTGGGAGCATGGGGCTTACTGATTCTATCTGAGTAGAGCACACAACTCTTTGAAAGGTGGCAGACATTCATTTAATGGCACTATGGGATCTGATCCCCATTCCCAATGGTTCTGCCTCCTGCCATGCCATACATGCAAGACAGGGAGCGTGAATGTTGGGATTGCGAATAAGATCCCAGTTGCGTGACTGCCAGTGCAGAGAGCCTGGGGCACAGGTTTGCAAATTCTGGTTGGGGGGAGTTAATCAACCTTTATCTGGTGGCTGCCAAACCAGGGGTTCCAGGCCTGGAATCAGGAAGCCTCTTCCCATGCATCAATGCACTAGGGTCTTTAAAATCTATGTGTGCAGCTCAGCAGGGCTGCAGTGCAGCTTTGCACTTGCCAGGTGGTGGGGAAGGTCTTCTAGGTTGCAGAGAGCCTTGTTTTGCAGCTCTTTGGGGGTCAAGACAATTAATATGCCAGGTTTCAGGGGGGCCCAGGGTTCCCACCAACCCTGCATTTTCAAGTTCCATGTGCCTGCAGGACAAAGCAGGAAAGACTGCCAATATGGGAGTGCAAAGTTTCTAGGGTAAGGAAGCCACTTGGCTCCCTCTGTAGGGAACAATACAGCCTGCTCCCTCAGAACCCCATTTTTGTCATCCATGCCAGGGCTATCCTGGTCTGATGCCAACTCTGGTCCCAGGGCAGATGCTAATAGTCAGCTGACTGTTAGCATTGGGATGAGTGCATGTCACACATTCATTTTATGGTGCCATACAAACTATGGCACAAAGATAGTTTCTAGGTTTCATAGTTTCATAGTTTCTAGGGTCGGAAGGGACCTGAGCAGATCATCTAGTCCGACCCCCTGCCATGGCAGGAAGAGCACTGGGGTCAAATGACCCCAGTAAGGTGGTCATCCAACCTCCTCTTAAAAACCCCCAGGGTGGGAGCCTGCACCACCTCAC